GGGTATGGGGGTGTTTGGGGGGTGTATGGGGGTGTTGGTGCTGACGACCCCTGACCTGTAGGTGCCGACCAGCCAACCGGTCAGCTGGTCGGCATCCGACCAGTCAAGGCCCGCCGACCGTTGGGGTATGCAACATTGATTGGCATCTTGAAAGAATTCCACAGTCACACAACACCATCTATGCAACCAGGAGTGACTGTCAGCAATTAATGACTTGTTGTTGGGTGCTGATCTATGTGGTTGCTATGAACTTGGCACTATACTCATCTTTTATAAAGATTGAGTCTCAGTGCTTCCGTCACATTCCGTGACGTCAGCATTTAGGCGATACTTGGGGCCTCCAAAGAAGAGACCTTGCAAATGTGTGTCTTGTATGATGATGTAATCTACCATGGCCACTTGATTATCAATTTGTCAACAATGTCAGTACAGCGCGCAAATGCTTGTCGACAAAGGCAATTTCTCAGGGTCTGGAGGAGGCATATTCCTTGTTATGCCAAGTAGTACTTCTGTAAAGTCACAAAAGTGGATGCGAATGGGTGGTACCATCTCGTCACAGATGCGTATTTCCTTGGCAAGAGAAGAGGCCGTGGGTATAACTCGACGACCTCTTCCGGTAGCTAAAGGACGTTCTGTAATTGTGTGGCACGAGCGAGCGACTTGATGCATGTGCACAACCTTAAACCACCAGTATTTGGCCCAGAAATTGGCCGCAGGGAAAAATATAGTAGAAACGTTTCTAGTCGGATGAACGTGGGCGCTCCTGTGGTGGCCCGTACATTTCCTAAACTTGTGGTTTGTTAATGGGCATAACTTTAGGAAGTACTGGTGGTTTAACGAGTGCTTGTTCCGAGCTCAGCATTTGAGACATTCGTCTGCAACCATTTCAGCAAGCGAGATCGTCAGGTGGGCGTGGCTCTGGAGATTGCACGAGATATCTGGATTGCCGTTATGAATTGGGCTGCTTCTGTAAGCATGTGATGGAGGGCGGAGCACACAACATGGAAAGAATCTGCGCGGTATTGTCAACCGTGAAGTGTTTGTCGCAATTGATGAACTTGTGCTGTGGGGCGAGCTGTGGAGGGAGGGAGGGAGGGAGGGAGGGAGGGAGGGAGGGAGGGAGGACCTGGACAGCGTCGTGAACAATTTCACATGTTTAAGCGATGAGAATGTCCGACAGACGGTACTTGTCCTTGTGGGAGGACGCCATTGAAGCGCCGAGCAGTCGGTGAGGACATAGGGTGGTCAGGCGGCAAACCGAAAACCCTTCACGAGGGGTAGTTGCATGCTTGAACTGTAACTCAGTTGATTGATAGAGTCATCAGCATTCAGGTGAAGTTGGGGTTCTGTGCGTTCCAGCGCCAGACACTACAGACAGTGAAGTGAAAGGGGGGTTGTCTTAGCATGATGGAGTGATACGAGCGACGGTGAGGTGAGTGAGAAGTTTGCGATGAGCAGCGCGGGAGTGCCAATGTTGTTGCAGGGCGGTAGTGAGCATCATAGGTGCAACCAACGGGGAGGTATGTGAATCATAGCATAAATAACTCGGTAGTCGAAAGAGCGTCCATTCCTAGGTGAATGGGGCTCTGATCAATGCTCTGTAATTGCAGCTCGAACTTTTCCGCATGGGCCTCTAGAAGCCACATAGCAGAGTACCGTTCCACATGGGCTGCACATGCCACAGAGTGGAGGTCACTTTTTTAACCTGTGCCCCGCTTCCTACAGATGCGTGTTCCAAGTCATGATGTGCAACGAGGTTCACTCTGTTGGCTTATCGTCCATAGTCATAGTCACTGTGGCGATGAGAGGAAGAACGAAGGGGATCACCGTGAAGGGGATCGCAAGCATGAGATGTGTGGTTCATGTCGTGCCACCGGTACGGGTGTCCGCGTTCGAACTTCGAACCCCGTTCCTACCGTCTTCACCCGAATAGAACGCCCCCGGTAATTATCGATCGTCGTATCTGGGCTGAAAGTCATTTAAAATACAGCTATTCTATTCAGGCGAAGACTGTAGTTCACACATTGTATTTTTGACATCAAAGGTAAAGAATTTCAAATCCTAGAGATTCACTTTCAGGAGAGGAGCATGGTTAACAAGACGAGACATGACCAAAGAGAAAAGAGGACTGAGTGAAAAGCTATCTCATTTAAAAGGATGAAGCCGGAGGAGGTAGGAATAGATTCAATATAGGATAGAGGGTCATTGCGGAAGAGGAGGAGGAGGAAAATGCTGGGGCTACCAATGATAGAAAATGGAGGTACATAACAACAGTGTACATAGAGTCATGGAAGACTATATACTGCATTGAAGGGACAGGGGAGAGGGGGAAAAGATCAGTTAGAGATTGAAATGGGCAAGGGGTCATCTGAGAGAGAGAGAGACAAATGTATGATAGGAGGAACTGGGAGCTACCGTCTTCCCCCGAACATAACGCGCCCTGAAAATGAATGTATACAAGCTATATTTCCGGCCAGATACATCCAAAATCAGGGTGCGTTGTGTTCGGGGGAAGACGGTAGGCAAGGTTGTTGATGGGATAAGCGGCGCAAGGGACTGCTCTGAAACGTCCGGCGATGTGCCGCGGCGCCCCACGATGGATCACTGTATTGTGTGTCTGGGTGCTGATAGTAAACCTCCCGGCGAATAGGGAGATCCACCGTGGAGGGACAAAGGCTTGGGGTCGGAAGTACAGAATCGACCCCCCCTTGTTTAGGCGGTGAGTGCCGCGAGGGTTGGGCTGACCTTCTTTTTCTCGTCTTTTCTTCTATATTGTCTTTGTAAATACATGCTTGCCGGGGATGAGTCACCGGGCTGTTGCCCCCCAGAATAGAAGGGGCTTGTGTGTTCCCAAAAAAAAAAAAAAAAAAAAAAAAAAAAAAAAGCTATCTCATTGTCCATGGGTTTGGGCCCATCATCGTTTAGCACGAGGAGGCTGTCGACATCCCGGCAGGTGGCACTCACCCCAGAGACTTTCAAGCGATGGCTCAGGCTTATACGAAGATTGCCTCCACATGTGAGTGTGCTCAAGGCAAACTCCCTATACGCTGGGCACAACAGAAGTACTCTCTCTCTCTCTCTGTTAGGGATGAGGTGTCCGATCCATCATAAGGAACTGCTGTGTACCAGGTTTATGTCAAAGGAGGACCTCCTGCGAGGGTGAGATGAGCGGGAGTACTCTCCACCTGAGCCTGTCACGCCCCTTGGGTGGGTGCGGAGCTAACTGTACTCAGTGCGCGGAAGGAAATGGCAAGAAACCGCTCCCTTGTGGAGACTGCCACCCCAGGACCTGGGCACCTGAAGAAAAAGGTCCAATAAACAAATGGTCAGTCACTCAAAAAACAAACCAAGAACAATCATAACCACAGGGGGAAGTTCCATTCAGTTTAATAACCAAATCATAACCAAATCATAACCAAATCATAACCAAATCATAACCAAATCATAACCAGATCATAACCAAATCATAACCAAAAAATCACAAGCAAATCATAAGGAAATCATAAGGAAATCATAAGCAAATTGTAACTAGATCATATTATCAGCACCACTAACACTGGCGGGGGTGTGTTGTCAAAAAAAAAAAAAAAAAAAAAAAAAGATCATAGCATTGAATGGAACAGACAGCAAAGTTAACTTACACTTCTGGGCGAAAGGCTTATTGACATAACAATAGGTTCCATAAATAATAAATATGGTTGGAGGACCGTTGGACATAATAATCAAAGCTCTGCTAGTGAGTGGTGAAAAAGGGGATAAGCAAAGAATGGCATTTTGTCATTTTAATCATTTTAATTATTTTATTAATTTACTACCATTTTGTCATTTTAATGATTTTATACATTGGCTACTACTGAAAATGATAGATTCAGTGTCTGCTGTTGAGCCCGTTGTCTCAGTTGGTACATCCATGAACTGTTGAAATACAGACCTGAGTTTAAATCCAGATGAACTGGATGAATTTATTTGCACTACTTCTGAATTACCTGGGGCTGGTCAGTCCAATGATGATATCTCAAGGACCGGCCGTCACCCTTTTTAAGTTTTTATGTTAAAAAGAAAAAAGAAAAAAAAGTGTAATGATAATTGCTGCGCTCGCTCGTCCCTTCCTATTGGAGGGGAGACAAAGCTGACAACTTGATGGAAAAGGAATGTTCTCTGATGTATCATCGAATGTTCCGTGTTGTGTTGCAGAATGGAATCGGAAAGTTCAGTTCGCGAGTGCGACTCGGGCGCACAAGATCGAGGTGAAGGTGCTGACGAGCAAGGTTTTCGGTCATCTTCTCTGCACTCAACCAGTCGGAGCCATACGAGTGTAGGTGGCGGCCCTTCGAGTGGTGCTGGTAGCTCTGGATCCGACGGCTCGTTGGCCTTAGATGCGACAAGCTCTCTGTGGACAACGACCGCTCGCCATCCATCTTTCACTCTGTCGCCCGTGTCCTCGTCTGAGCATCACCCCCCCGTGTCCTATGTGGAACACATTCAATCGTCACCGTCACCGTCAACCCAGTGGGAGTCAGCAGACTACAGAGGGTCTGCAGGTACACCGTCGCTATCACGTGCTGCTGGTCCATTTGCAACTCCTCCTTCGAGGGAAAATGCAAGTGGCAGCGCGCAAGTACTTGCCGTTGCCGGTGGTGCAAGCAGCATGTTAGTTCACTACAGTACAGCAGGCAGTGGCCCGTCTGCGGGTCACGATGCCTTCGCTTGCGGGTCAATGGCGACGCACCTGCTGCCGAATTCGTCAGTGCCTCCTGACAATCCGGTCGCGCTGAATGCCGCACCGGGCCCTTTGCTGGCGACCTTCTCAGGAAGCTTGGGGTCGATCACACCAAGCATCTGGAGCACCGCAACTTTGCGGAGCACTCCTAGCGGGCATTCCGCCGCAATGCCACCGTCCTATTCGTCAAGTTTATCCGAGTTGCATTCGGCGCTCTCAAGTGCGGCGATGTCAGGCGTGAAGATTCGCGCCTCTGGGGGATTGTCGGCAGCATTCGGGGCATTACAATTGGAGCCGTTGATGCCGAGCGCGGTCGACACAGTGCAGATTTGCCACCATTTATCTGCTGGACCTGATCGGGCAACCGTACAGTCTGGTGGTGGCTTTTCCAGACCAATGTATCGCCCTCTTGATCTTGCAGCAAACCCTCGGGCAAACGCTTTTCATGTGCCGTTATCAGGTGTGCAGGTTATGGTGACCCCCCTCATGTCGCAGAGAGCATGCTCTGTCGATGGCCGGCCAGCCATGATACCCTCGCAGGTGGCACAAGGAGGGCTTCATCGGCCCCGTCTCTGCCTGCAGCCGCAGCCGATTCACTTCATAAATGAGATCGGGTGCGCAACTGTCCCCAGGCACACGCTGACAGTGACGGGTTGTCCTGCTCCTCCTCCAGTTGGACCTCCGCGAGGAGGTCTCAGTGTCCGTCCAATCAAAGCCGCAGGATGTCTGGGACAGCTGATCAACGGATTGCATCCGACTGCCCGCGAGTTCTATACAGGAGTGGAGAACAGTCATCCTCACCTCACCGCGCTGCCGATACACCCATCGTATCTGTGGCAGTCTCATTTTGTGCAGAATCCAACGCCGGCGGGAGGTTCGCCTCATCGCGGCGATCTGCAGACGTCTCTGCCCCCGCCTGGAAGGGGGGGCATCGAGTGTCCCATCTGCCGTGTGTTCAATTCGCATCTACGCTCAGAGCTGGATGAACACATGGGGCTGTGTCAGAGCACAGCCAATCTTGTTGAATAATTGTGATTTGTTTAAATTTTTTTTTTTTTTTTTTCTATTGACATTTGCTGACCATTTTCTCAGCTCTTGTGACTAAGGGCATATACTCACACCACCGTCTTCACCCGAATACAATGCCCGGTCATTATAGCTGTATGTATCTGGAGTCTGGACTGCAAATTGCACCAAATACGGCTATAATGACCGGGCGTTCTCTTTGGGTGAAGACGGTAGGACTTTCTTGACTCCTCTCTGGATGTAGTTGCGGTCAGATGCATCTTTGATCGGCCGTAATTGCGGTCAGATGCATCCTCCAGGAAAGTGTTAGTGTGTGTGTGCTCTTACCAACACACAGGCACCTGCTTGGCTCCCCTCATACCCATGTGTCTATAATTTCCTTTGCTCTGATGATTGCAGACGACTTTTTTTTTTTTCTTTTTTGCAGACGAGTACTTAGTACTTGTCGTCGATCAGTTGGAGCTTGACGGTTCGAGATTGCCAGGTGAGTCTTCCAATCGACTAAACAAGGCGTCTGATTCTGCAATTCATCAGGAAAAAAAGTCAAAGTCAATTGATGTGTTGACTAGATTGGCGTCACCGACGACAGCCGAGACCGATGCTCTCCTGTTTGAAGGTGTTGTGTTGCGATTGTAGTATCATTGTACTGATCGCCAGAAAGATGTTTGCTTTTTTTTTTTTTTTTTTTTTTTTTTTTTTTTTTCTGGTTGATTTTTGGGTGTTTTACCAGAGAGACGTTCTTGCCGTGCTGTAATCATGATTACTTGGTTGCGCTCGGTGATGTCGCTCCTGGCGGGTATGTGGTTCTCTATACATACGCCTGGCCGCCATGTGCCCGTTCCAAAAAAAAAATCTCTGTCGTAGTATCGTCCCATATTGCGTGGTCATGCTGTTGCATTGGAGTCTGGACTCTGTCACCAAGAGAGATGGAGGAGGGGGCAAGAGAGATGGAGAGGCACCTGTTTTTTTTTTCTTCACCCTAAGAAAGAGTGGGTCTCGTGTGGCCCTCCCACGTGAGACTGCGCGGCCAGTATTAGGAAAACATCACGCACCCGGGGCGGGCCCAAGAAAAGTTCAGTTGGCCGGGGAAAAAAAGAAACTATGCGGGCGAGCCCAACGGAAATTTGATTGGGAAAACCTGTGCGGGTGGGCCGGCAATCAGGGAGCGGAAGGGACACATGTGGGGTAGACGGGACGGCAAGGGGGTGATGGGGTACACAGGACAGCATGGAGGGAGACAAAGGGCAGGCAACGGCAGGTGCGCAGCACAGCGTTGGTGTAGCAGCAGGCAACTGGCGCTTTGTCAACAGCCAGGCAGGTAGGAAGGCTCTGGAAAGGGTGGAGTGCCTCTCTCTCTCTCTCTCTCTCTCTCTCTCTCTCTCTCTCTCTCTCTCTCTCTCTCTCTCTCTCTCTCTCTCTCTCTCTCT